GGAACCGTAACTCTCATGGTCCTTATTATATCTTTTTGAGTTTTCAGACCTCTTTGGTCAGCAAATTGTCAAAAAATATCAGAAGGACCTAAATGCTATGGTTCCGCAGCTAACTGAAATGAAAAGAGAAATCATCTACAAAGTTAATGTTTACAAAAAGATCTTGTTGTTATAGAGTCCCAGTGTAACTGTGTTGCAGGTATATTGGCCCAACAGTTCATTGTAAACAATTTAGCATATTTGTGCAGTTCTCTTTGACATGACACAGTTTTCTTGTTTAAGGTATAATACCACCACATCATAGTACGTCACATCCGGTTGCATACGGAAATAGATCGAAAAAAAATATACCCTTGAATTTGACAGTTGTAGGTAATTGATCCTACATTTCATTGCAATAAAACATTTCTGAGTCATAAACATATATCTTGGGTATTTCAAAGCACCATTATTTCTTTATTTGGAGTTTCTATAGAATATTTTGGAAACTTGAGGTTACATGGTTACTAAAGCTTGTACACAGGTTAAAAAAAGGGGAAAATTTGATTGGTTAACTTCCAGTGATGGTTATTTTCTTATATGCAATGAAATGTTATGTGAAATTTTTTCTATAGTACTGGACAGGATAAGTCTTTACTCATGCCAAGTATTTCTTTATTTGAAACAAAGATAAATTCTGCACAATTTTTTGAAAAGTGCAAATTTAACAAAGACTAATAGGGGAAAATCAATGGTGGTATTACACCTTAAAGGAGTTGAGTCAGTAAGCATGGTAAGAAAGCAAGAAACCATTAAATGTGGAATATTTGTGTCAAAGTCACTTCCTTTTCTTGCTGCTTCATCAGCTAGGTGGATTAATGGAAAACAATTTTAGCAATCAAATGCCCATATATGTAACATCCCGAAATGAACTATTAACACCTAAATCTGTTCTTTACTCATGTGTTACGTGTCTGAGGTAAATGGGGGAGTTAGTGTTTAACCAAAAACATGATTATTACTTTTAAGTATAATGACAAATGTTTTGCACTGGAAAACAAACACATGACTTCTTTGTTTACACATTTTAAGATCACAAATTATTACTGTAATACATGTAATTCGAAGAAATTAAAAATTCATTGCTGGAATGAATTTTTACTGAAAATATTTTAAACAGGTAGTTCTTGACAAATATCATAAAATCTAAGATTGTTTATTTAATTATAATTATTTATAAATACGAATTATTGAATATTTCACTTCAATTTTCAATTGTCAAAACTTGAAATTGATTGATGATCACTCATAACAAAATAAAGACCATAGCTAGCTGTCCAATATTTAGTCCAATAATATATGCAATTCAGTTATATCATGTATATTGTCGTTATTTAACATTTTTTTGCTGAAATTTTCATTTTTCTTAATGCGAAGCTCGGGTGGCACATTGAAAGTAGATATAATAAATAATAATTAGCAAAATAAGTGAAAAGAAAATATCAGAGATAAACAGAAATAAAAAATAATTCACTCAGGTTAAATGTTATAGTATTCATTCTAGACTATGTGAATTCCTTTTTTTTTTTTTGTTTCCTTATTATTGCAATTGTCCATTTCTTTTTTTAAATTCCCATCCCTCAGAAACATATGTTCACCTCTATTAGAACATCCAGGTTCACAACAGGCTAAAGACATTTAGTAAAAAAAAACTTATTATAATTTGTAAATAAATATCACCACACTAATTATACGCCTGTTTACGGGACGTATTATGGTATACCGTTGTCCGTCCGTCTGTCCGTCCGTCCGTCGTCAACATGTCGGACATTAATTCAAAAACGCTTTAACCAATATGCATGAAACTTTGGTAAATTGTTTACATCTATTAATGTGAGCTCCCTTTCGTTTTTTATCAATTTCGGAATTACCGTTTCCGAGTTTTGGGGTTTTATTCATTAAAAAAGGGGGGATTTTGCAGTTTTCGGACAATAACTCGAAAACAATTTCACCAATTTGCATGAAACTTTTGTGAATTGTTTATATCTATTTACATGAGCTCCCTTTCATTTTTTATAAATTTCAGATGTACCGTTTCCGAGTTTTGGGGTTTCATTCATTAAAAAAAGGGGGATTTTCCAGTTTTCGGACAATAACTCAAAAACAATTTCACCAATTTGCAAGAAACTTTGGTGAATTGTTTATTCCTATCGACAAGAGCTCCCTTTTGATTTTTATAAATTTTAGACTATACGTTTCCGATTTATGGTTTTTTTTTCATTACAAAAAGGGGGATTTTCCAGTTTTCAGACAATAACTCAAAAATGCTGAAAGCATTTTTTATGAAACTTTGGTAAATTGTTTATATCTATTGATGTAAGCTCCCTTTTGATTGTTATAAATTTTCGATTTTACGTTTCCGTGTTATAAGATTTTATTTGTTTATAGTATGACAACAGATTTACTAAGTATTGCGCAAAAGCACAGTGTATTGCACAACAACACAGTGTATTGTACAACAGCAAGAAATCTTTAATTGAATATAAATTCAATTCATATAACCAATTTCAAGTTCTTTGACTACATTTATTCAGAAACCTATAATATATCAAATATTTAATTACAATCCAAATTCAGACCTGTATCAAGCTTGAATATTGTGTCCATTTTTGCCCCAACTGTTCAGGGTTGGACCTCTGCGGGCGTATCCAGCTGCGCTCATCGAAGCAGTTTTTTTATATAGGTAATAGATAAGAGATACTGTGTGTGTTGGACCTGAACTACAGCACTGCCACCTGTAATCATTAAAGGGGAATCATTGACCAATGTCTCTCATTAGAATAAAACTTTATAAATGTCGTGCAATCAAAGCGCTTTTCTAAATTTTAACCCTATCTTTAACGCTAAATCTAAAACATTTCAATGCAAGGAATGTAAAAATAAATAGGAACGTTTGGATCTTTATACGTACCTCAAAAGGTCAAAGAAATAAGTGTCAAAATCATCTATGGTCAGTTTAGTGTCAGGGTGGAGTTTTAATTTTAAGTCGGTATAACGACTTAGCTAACTTGTTATAATGACTTAGCTAACTTGTTATAGCAATTTGGCTTATCTTATTCGTAATAACAATTTATCTAACTCTTTATAACAACTTAGCTAACTTGTAATAACGACTTAGCTAACTCGTTTAAACGACTTAGCTAACTCGTTTAAACAACTTAGCTCAGTTGTTTAAACGAGTTAGCTAAGTCGTAAAACAATTAAGCTAAGTTGCTTTAACGAGTTAGATAAGTTAAGCCATTATAACGAGTTCACTTAGTCGTTTAAACAAGTTAGCTAAGTCGTTTTAACGAATTAACTAAGTCGTTTATAGGAGTTAGCTCAATTGCTTAAACGAGTAAGCTAATTCGTTTAAACAAGTTAGCTTAGTCATTTTAACGAGTTAGCTAAGTCGATTAATCTTGTCTTTGACAATCGAAACTCATAGTATCATTTAATCAGAGCAACGGTTTTTAATGGTAACCCCTACATATTTACCCATCAGATGTTCGTTTACAATTATTTCGGTCTAATTTATATCAGCCTGATTTTTTTGGTTATTTTGGCTTAATGCTCTGTTTGTTCCAGTTGAATTGTTGGGCAATGCAGTAGAGTAGAATACCAGTTTTGACAATTCCTAGAACATTGTGCAATGTTGTAGAATCTTTGTTTCTCAAATAATAACTTTTTTTCTTTCTATTTCATAGAAAATGGCATTTAAGAAGTGTATCACACTAATGGTTAGTATACAATACATGCATGTATGTACTTTATGATCATTACTTAGAATACTAATGTGTCCAATCAAACAAATATTAATGGCTCAATTGTTATGTAGACAACATATATTTATATATGTATATGCAGTAATAGCTTTTGATCTGAAGAGAAAACAAATTACTAACAATATACAAAGAGTTTCAATATACCGTGCAATGGGCATCTTCATCTTATTTTTTTTATCTAAATCTAGGATAGTTTTTGTCACCAATCTTAGAAATCGGACAATGGCAATGATTGGTGCAGAAGCAAACGTTGATGCAGGAATGTAATTCATTCGTCATGTTCGTGAGACTTTCTTTTAAATGAAAATGAACAATATTAAACAGGAAAGGTGAGCAAAGAAATAATGACAGCTGTTCAGGATAAAATGGAACTTTCTCTTAACTTAAAATGTATATCTAAATGTAAACACAGGTCTACTGTTGATTGATTGATTGTTGGCTGCTTAACGTCCAGTGGCAATGGTCTACTGTTGAAGAAGGACGCTTAGAAAACTCAAATATCTAAACAATTCAGCTCTCTAGCGCACATGACATGGAATAGAAAGGATTGTTTGTATAGATGAATGACCCTGAAATATAACAAACTTACGGTTCCAATTGTACAACACAGGATGCGCATTTCGACAATTATTGTCTCTTCCGTTATGCTCGAGGTCAACCTAATACTAGCGTGGAAGATATAACATGCACTTTACAAAATTCAAAGTATAAGACCTGATCTTTCTTTCTAGTCTTCAATACACCTCATGCATTGGGAAACTTTCTACGGAATATATACACCGCACGAGATAAACACTATGTCAATGTAATGAAAAACAAGAATACGGTGCATTAGTAATTCATAACAAAACATTCTGTTTATGAAGTACTTTTAAAATAAAAAAAAAAAGAAACAACACTGTTCACAGAGGGGACTTCAACAAGATACAATTAAGTTCACATACATCACTATAAGTTTTAATTGCACTGTGCTACAATGTATACACCTTACATGTACAATGTATACTGTTTAATTAAAAAGAACTTTACAAAATAGAAAAAAAAAAAAATTAGATTGAGAATTTGGGAATAACCCCCTGGATTGAAAACGATTTTTAACAACTTTTATTTCAATTGTAAATCCAATCCGGTTACCCAGAAAGGGGTTCATTTTTAAGATGTTTTGAATGAAATTCGTAGCATTCAATTTGACTGTATGTAAAATCTATGTAAATGAATTAGTGTGTAGTTTCAGGTTCTTATATACGCATGTTTATACAAATCATATGAGATCCAGTGTCCCCATCCGTCGCAGTGGAAGTTGAAAGCGAACACAGTTTGCAATGTCACATCACAATATCATTGTTTGTTTGATGAATACAGCGTCATGTACACAGAGTTTTGTAGACAAAACCCAGATTTTGAAATACCAGGTAAATATATTCCTCCATTTGTATGCCACACATTTTTAGTCCCGACCGACGAAGTCGAAGGGGACTTTAGGTTTGCACTCAGTCCGTCTGTCCATCTTTCCGTCTGTCCGTCTGTCCTTCTGTCCGTCTGTCCATCCGTCAGTCCACACTTTTTTTTCTTCGTTCTTGAAGATATTGATTTGATATTTGGTATATAGTTTTATCATGACAAGTTATAGATCAGGTTCGAATTTTGTTCCAGTCTGATGATTTAGTCCAGAGTTATGGACCATAACTCTGGACCATATCTAATGTATGAGTACTATGTTAAACCATATTTCTGTACAAAGGGAGATAACTCATTTTTTAAAAGACATTCTTTGTTAAATTATTTGAAGAATTTTTTGGCAGGTTTGTTTGTTATTTAGTATAAACTTATTTTCTGAATGCTATATATACAATGTATAAAAAAAAATATGAAGAGAAATCCTTTAATTAGATAATAATCTATTTTTATTAATGTATATATTTCAATACATTACATTGTGTAGATAAAAGTTGTTGACATTTTATAGATAAGTTACAAATCTATATTAGTTTGTGACAAATGAAAGAAAAAATATTTGGAACTATTAATTATATTTAATTATAATTTGAAAATAGATATACACTGTATTACATCATATCTAATTTTAAAGAACTATTAATCATATATATCTAATGTTTTATTCACTCATATAATCAGTTTTCCACACTGTTTTTAGTCATGCTTGAAGATATTGACATGATATTTACTTTTTGTTTACACCATGACAAGTTATAGAACAAGTTAGCATTTTGTTCTAGTAAAATGAATTTTTACCCGGTAGGGGACTATGTATTGCCATGCAATACTCTCAGAATGCTTGTTATTTTTATTTTTGTCAATTCTCTAGTCATTCCGTCATTCTGAAATCGCACAGTTGTCCGATTTACGTTGCTTATGCCTGTAGATCTTGTGCTGAATTCTGATACCTAAGTGCACAATGACAATGATGATATTTTATGGATTGAGTATGCCTTCTTTTGATGGATATTTTGCAGGAAAATAAACCTTTGGTTCTAGAAGTTGATATAAATTATAATTGCTTGGATTGTTTTGACAATGTCTACAGAAGTGGAGCTACAATTGGTACATCCGTGTATACTGATGATCTACATACCGAGAGTGCGTTTGGTTACTCTCGGTTTGCCGAATTTTGCAAAATTATGATTCATGTTTTAAAAATATTTCACAAAGATTATGCATGTTCGGTCCTTTTTGTAATGCCTACTTTTCTGGAGCTGGCATGTAGTATATGAGTTTATGATAACTTACACTTTAAGTTATAGTATTATGTTTCGTAATTTAAATCGAAACTTGCCGCTGGTAATTAGTTTCTATATATTATAGTATGAAAAGTACATTTTAAAATATTTATAAGATTTATTTTTATATCAATTATAAATATAGAACTTTCATCTGATGTACATGAAATATGAAAAATAAACAATGGCATAATTTCCGTCAAATCAGAGAACAGATTGACTAAGCTGTTACCATGGTTTAGCATCATTAAGGTAAAAAGTACAAATCATAACTAAAACGAGTGTGTGAAAAAATCAGCTCAATTGGTATACAGGTACATTGTTATATAAAAGTTGAAGTCAGCATGAAATTTTTGATCCTAGAATTTCAGATACATCAGTTCCAAATGTGAGCAAACGGAAAGCAAGAACCATATTATGCATTAACAACGACTGAAAATAAAAGTGAAGGAAAAGATTGAATTGTTATTACAAATATCTGATATCCCAATATATTTCTCATTGTATATACCGACTTCTCAAGTAAAGTCGTTATATTTCAGGATATAAGATGGTAATTTTGGGTGGTTTGAATGGGAAATTGTGCGCGTCTATCCGATATCAGCCGTTCATATTTTGGACAAACGGAAGCAGTCAATGTACATTTCAGAAGTCATTATGCAGAGAAGAGGGTCAAATGATTTCGACTGAAAGGTCTACGAGTAAAGATGCTACTTGCCGGTGTGATTATACCAGGGGGTATTCCTTTGTTTTGAAACCTACGCATATCACTTATTGTTTGCCATCTGAAGAAGACTGTTCATGTTACATCAAACCATGTCCTAATGGATATATACTAAATACAGGTACAGCACTAGTTGCATAGTATAGTATAGTACTTTATAGACAAGATCAGTTTTTATACGACCGCAAAAAAAATTGTGTGGTCGTATATTGGTATGACGTTGGCGTCGTCGTCGTCGTCGTCGTCCGAAGACACATTAGTTTTCGCACTCTGACTTTAGTTTTAGTGAATGGATCTCAATGAAATTTTACCATAAGGTTCAATACCACAAAAGGAAGGTGGGGATTGATTTTGGGGGTTATGGTACCCACAGTTAAGGAATTAGGGGCCAAAAAGGCGCCAAAAATAAGCATTTTTGCAACTTCCAGACATAACTTGTGTGTAAGTGTATGGATCTCTCTGACATTGTACAACAAGGTTCCATATCACAAAGGGAATGCTGGGATTGATTTTAGGGGGTAATTGCCTCCAAATTTTAGGAATAAGGGGCAAAAAACAAGCATTTTTCTAGTTTCATGACAATAACTTGTGTGTAATTGTACGGATCTCTCTGACATTGTATCACAAGGTTCCATATCACAAAGGGAATGCGTGGATTGATTTTGGGGGTAATTGCCTCCAAGTTTTAGGAATTAGGGGCCAAAAAGGGGCAAAAAACAAGCATTTTTCTAGTTTCATGACAATAACTTGTGTGTAAGTGTATGGATCTTTATGAAATTGTACTACAAGGTTTCATATCACAAAGGGAAAGCTGGAATTTTGGAAGTTTGGGGGTAATTGCCCAAAAAGTTAAGGAATAAGGGGCCAAAAAGGGGCCAAAAATAAGCATTTTTCTAGTTTCCAGACAATAACTTGTGTTCAAATGTATGGATCTCTCTGAAATTGTACTGCAAGGTACCATACCACAAAGGGAAGGCTGGGATTGATTTTGGGGGTAATTCCCTCAAAATTTTAGTAATTAGGGGCCATAAATGGGCAAAAAAACAAGCATTTTTCTAGTTTCAGGACAATAACTTGTGTGTAAGTGTATGGATCTTTATGAAATTGTACTGCAAGGTTCCATATCACAAAGGGAAAGCTGGGTTTGAGTTTTGGGGTAATTGCCCGTTTAGGAATTTGGGGCCAAAAAGGGGCCAAAAACAAGCATTTTTCTAGTTTCCAGACAATAACTTGTGTTCAAGTGTATGGATCTCTCTGAAATTGTCCTGCAAGGTACCATACCACAAAGGGAAGACTGGGATTGAGTTTGGGGGTGATGAATCATAAGGGGGTTCAAAAAATTGGGGGGGATTTTTTTTTTCTTTTTTTTCTTTAAAATTTTCCATTTTAAATTGGTTATTTCTGATTTATATATAAAAGCAAATAATAATGATATGGTTTGAATAGGTAAATTAAAAAATTTTAAGTTCTTAAACCACTTTCATTCTGTGTGGGAAACCTATGCTGTGTCAAATATTTAATTACAATCCAAATTCAGTGCTGTATCAAGCTTGAATGTTGTGTCCATACTTGCCCCAACTGTTCAGGGTTCGACCTCTGCGGTCGTATCAAGCTGCGCCCCAGCGGAGCATTTTATTTATCCTGTAAACATGACAAACAATTTTTTTGGTTTTATTTGATTAAATCATTGAAGTATGTGCTATATCTCATTTTTGAGTCTTAGACATCTAAATATTTACAACTTACTGAGTTGTCTTCATGAGATATTTTCTCATATGGTTCTACTGCTTCGCCAAATCTGTGTATTATAATTTATTGAGATGGTGCTTATGATTATTAAAGCCATGTTTCCTTATCCCTGTTAATTTTGAGAGAGGTCAATGGCTTCATAAAGGTACTCAATTTTTGTGCCCCACTTGTGACTTCCGCTGTTATCATGGTTATACTCGTGTTAGAACTTGAAAATTTCAGTAACATGTTATTTATACTAACATAAAAATTTGACGAAAAAGTAACATTTGTATTATACAATATAACATGCAGCAAATTAAATGGACTATGTCCCGTTTACCAGCAAAAAAAGTTTAACAAATGTAGTATAATAGTAAAATGAAACCTACGTCAAATGTACATTATCTCGCATTTTCTGGACATGTCTTTTTATTATACACTATTGTCTAGCTGATTAGTAAATATTTTCTCGAATATTTAAACGTTATCCAATTAATATAACCTCAGTTTATATAAAAAAAAATCACTAATTCCAAGCCAACTCTCAATATATACATGTATTATAATTTTTTTGTGGTCACTTTTGTCCCTATCTGTAGTTGATTCAAACTAGTAAATTTTATTAATAGGTTATCAATGCATAGAAGGTAACCCAAGTAACAACGAATGCACCACAAGTGACCCATCCATGCCTTCAAAGTAAGCTTATTGTTACGTAAAATAAGTATTATTAATCTGGTTACTGTAACAATTTTTTAGAAGCACTATGGGCTGTCATTAAATAGTTCAAAATTTCACCTTGATATTTTTATATTCTGCATTTTGTATGAAAGGTATATACTTACAATGTAATTAGATAATAAGGAACCTTTGTGGAGAAATTTTAGGAGCATTTTGTTGTTATGTATTTCTTTACCTCTAAATCCTTTGTTCTCTGGTAGATATATACAAGCTTTTTTTTGTAGAGTACTCATTGGCAAATCATCCAACATCAAATGTTTATACATAACAGGAGAAATCTAAAAAAAAATATTTGTGTAAAAATATACAGTGTAAAACAATAAATCGTTTCCTGTTCATCATCTAATTGCATGTAAGTTTAATGGACTTTTACCATATCTTTACTCCAAAGACTTGGGGCTTCTTTGATGCATGGCTTCTACAAAAAAACTATTAATATCATAAGCTATTTTATTTACCATTTCATTCTAAAATATGTAAAAAGGAACACAAGAAAAGATAAAAAAAGATTTAAAAAACTGTAGTGGTAGCCTTTAAGCCACCTGACGAGTACCTTTGGCAGGGACGAAACAGTTTGTGTATCGCCTGACAGGAAGGCACGAAAAGCGAGATACAGGAAAGCTGATACGGCATCGGCGGCAACGGTCTTAGCTATTTCTGTAAAGCTTATTTTTATGGTGCTGTTGTTTTATATAGAGCTGTAAATTCATAAAGATACAATTAGTGTATGATTATAAATCCTTTAAATAAACTTATTCTGAAACATGTGAAAAGCTTTCAATTTAATACTGTAATAAGATCTTTGAATTTTATTTGTATCAGTACAAATATTTATTTTGTTATCAATAGATTAAAACATTAAGTTCTTAATTTTATTGCTATATTTATTAACATATACGGTGCTACATTTTGTCAATAACTATATTTTGGCATCGCAAAAGCTCATGTTTTTTCTCTCTGACCGTTAATAACATATTTATCTTAATCTTTTTGAAGTGTACTGAATGATAATTTTGTCTTAGTGATTTTTTTATAAGCTGTTATTAGCTTTGAACTAGCTTTAGTAACTGCCAGTACTGTCAATTCTGTCCTTTGTGGCTTGACTCCTTTTGTTAGATTTTTTTTGTGTGTTTTGTTACGATCTTAGGGGTCGAGCCTTTTTCAACTGATTTGTATACGACCGCAAAAAAATTTTTGTGGTCGTATATTGGTATGACGTTGGCGTCGTCGTCGTCGTCGTCGTCTGGCGTCGTCCGAAGACACATTGGTTTTCGCACTCTAACTTTAGTTTAAGTGAATGGATCTCTATGAAATTTTACCACAAGGTTCAATACCACAAAAGGAAGGTTGGGATTGATTTTGGGGGTTATGGTACCAACAGTAAAGGAATTAGGGGCCAAAAAGGGGCCAAAAATAAGCATTTTTGTAACTTCCAGACATAAAAGAGGGACGAAAGATACCAGAGGGACAGTCAAACTCATAGATCGAAAACAAACTGACAACGTCATGGCCAAAAATAAAAAGACAAACAGACAAATAATAGTACAGGTGACACAACATAACTTGTGTGTTAGTGTATGGATCTCTCTGACATTGTACCACAAGGTTCCATATCACAAAAGGAATGCTGGGATTGATTTTGGGGGTAATTGCCTCAAAATTTTAGGAATTAGGGGCCAAAAAAGGGGCAAAAAACAAGCATTTTTCTAGTTTCATGACAATAACTTGTGTGTAAGTGTATGGATCTTTCTGAAATTGTACTACAAGGTTCCATATCACAAAGGGAAAGCTGGAATTGAGTTTGGGGGTAATTGCCTCCAAATTTTAGGAATTAGGGGCCAAAAAGGGGCAAAAAAAAGCATTTTTCTAGTTTCCAGACAATAACTTGTGTTCAAGTGTATGGATCTCTCTGAAATTGTACTGCAAGGTACCATACCACAAAGGGAAGGCTGGGATTGAGTTTGGGGGTGATGAATCATAAGGGGGTTCAAAAAATGTGGGGGGGGATTTTTTTATTTTTTCCTTTTTTTTCTTTTTTTCCTTTTTTTTTTCTTTTAAAATTTTCCATTTTAAGTTGGTTATTACTGATTTATATTTAAAAGCAAATAATAATGATATGGTAGGAGATACACACCAAACAGGATGTGTAAATTATTATATAATAAGTATTGTGCAATAGCAAGAAATTTTCAATTGCACAGTATTGCACAATAGGAAGAAATCTTCAATTGCACAGTATTGCGCAATAGCAAGAAATATCCAATAGCACAATATTGCGCAATAGCAAGAAATTGTCAATTGTACAGTATTGCGCAATAGCAAGAAATATTTAATGGCACAGTATTGTGCAAAAGAAGATACTTCGTATAAATTGCTTATTTCTTGACCAATTTCAATGGGGTTTTATTCTTGAATTCTTGGGGTTCTTTAATATGCTGAATCTAACCGTGTATTAAGTTTTTGGATTTTGGGCCCCGTTTTTAAATTGGTCCACATTGAGGTCCAAAGGGTCCAAAATTAAACTTTGTTTGATTTCATCAAAAATTGAATTATTGGGGTTCTTTGATATGCCGAATCTAACCGTGTAGTTAGATTCTTAATTTTTGGTTCCGTTTTCAAATTGGTCTACATTAAGGTCCAAAGGGTCCAAAATTAAACTTAGTTTGATTTTAACAAAAATTGAATTCTTAGGGTTCTTTGATATGCTGAATCTAACCATGTATTTAGATTTTGGATATTGGACCATAATAGGTGAATGTCCAATTTAAAATTTTTAAGTTCTTAGACCACATTCATTCTGTGTCAGAAACCTATGCTGTGTCAAATATTTAACCACAATCCAAATGCAAAGCTGTATCAAGCTTGAATGTTGTGTCCATACTTGCCCCAACTGTTCAGGGTTCGACCTCTGCGGTCGTATCAAGCTGCGCCCTGCGGAGCATTTTGTTACAGCTTGTTCTAATTTTGTGCTGGAACACCATTGTCCCATTTCAGGGGAGGGTTTGGGACCAAAAACATTGTTTAATACTTCCACATTACATGTATATGTCTGCCTGTCCGAAGGCAGGATCCTGTAATTCAGTGGTTGTAATTTGTAGCTATATACCATCTTTGTTTTTCGTTTATTGTTTTGTACATAAATCATGCCCTTAGTTTTGAATTGTTGAATATATTTTATGTCAGAATCTTTTATAGCTTGCTATGCTGTATAGGTTTTGCTCGTTGTTGAAGGCTGTATGGTAATATGTAGGTGCATGCTAACTTCTACGTCATTTGGTCTCTGGTGGGCAATTGTTTCAATGGTAAACATACCACATATTCTTACACTTATCGGTCTTTAAACATGTTAAACAATTTTTATTTTGGTAAACAGATAACCCATATTCAATCAATTTGATTATAATTGCTTTGCAATTCATTTCATAATAATGGCGTTTTATTTTTTTCAGAAATAAATCAACTGCAATGAAGGTCCTAAATGGTGAGTGTTTCCTATACGAACATAGATAAGTCATGTTTATGGTACATTCAGTATATATAGTATAATGAAAATTAATAGTTTATTACTATTATAATATCTATATAAGAAGAAGTTGAGAGGCGAAGGATACCAAAGGGACATTCAAACTCATTAGTCGAAAATAAACTGACAACACCATGGCTGAAAAAGAAAAATACAAACAGACAAACAACAGTACGCAAAACAACATAGAAAACCAAAGACTGAGCAACACGAACCCCACCAAAAACTGGGGGTGATCTCAGGTGCTCCAGAAGGGTAAACAAATCCTGCTCTACACGTGGCATCAGTATTGTTACTCATGAAAGTAGAAACCCAGTGATATGTCTAATTCGGTAGGTCACATCCGGGGAAAGGGGACAAGATTGTAGTTACCACAATTAGAACATACATTGTATTCCGTAACGTAGTCATTCTTGATTTATTCTTCAAAATTGTAGCTTCCAATATTATTGGACCAAGTAATAACAGTTATCCTTTTTATGTATATGATAAAGAAAACAATAAATATATAGTTGGAGTATTACATAACATGTGAAACAATAAGAGCCAACATGATTAAATTTGTAATAGAACTGTTTGTTCATGCTTTAAGTTTGTTTTCATTCATTTTCAGTCAATACAGAAAGTCGAAATGGACTCACAAGAGAAAAAATAGCATTTGCCTTAACAGTACCAATTCTGTCAGGTAAATTTCAGCCAAATCAATTATTTAAAACTTTCATTGAAAATATATGAGGATATTAAAGAATAAAGAAATATAACAGCGTTATGCTGGTTACTTTTAGCTACTATACTTAAAAGGATTGTGACATATTTGTACATTTTTTTATGAAATTAAAGTAATTAAAAATGAAAGTAAATACCCTTATATAAATTGATAGTAAAAAGAAACGCTGCGTTTACGTGAACTGGATAGTATCCTAGAAACACAATAAAACCAGGAAGACGTGCATGGGTCATCACATGGTATTCAACATGTTCAATTATCTTTAATATTTTTTTGTTTTTGTTTTTGTAATACAACATGTCAAGCTCGGAATTGTTCATAGTTAATATAAATATGCTAAAATAGGTAACATAACGAGTGAGAATTGGAATTGCTTGATATCAACTAGAGTTATTATATATAACTTCTATATACTAATAGACGTGATAGAAAAGTCAATACGATTCTGGGGCTGATCTTGAGTATGAATACTACAACAGGCTATATCTTATCTTTATCTTATCTTATAGTGCTGACCATCTAAAAAGGTAAAGATAATAATACATTAATTTATTGAATATAGGTCCGTATATATTTGCGTCCATTCGTTTTTTATTTTGAGATATCAAAAACAAAAAACGAATAACAAAAGTGTTTTCATTTTTTTGTTTTTGATTTCTCAAAAACCAAAATGAAAAACAAAAGTGTTCCTTTTTTGTTTTTGATTTCACTAAACAAGATAGAAAATCGACATTTGGATTCAATTTCTGTATTTTGTTCTATTAATTTCTCGTTTTATATTGTAAAATGTTTTCCTTTCTTGTTATAAAGCCATCGATATTATAATATGCCAACGTAGTTCGATTTCATTCTTGTAATTACCCCGGTGTTCTCACTAATTAATGTAGACAAAATAGGCCACCTGACTTATGCATTGAAATAAGGTGATTAATGAAACAGAATCAAAGACTTTCAACTTTCCTTGTTTTTATCTTTAATAAAAAATAAAATCATTATATTTAAATATTAAATGAATCACAAATTTGAATTATACAATGAAATATTATATAAAGATGTTAAAAATATATAGATTGATTACAATATCATATAAAACAAGGGAGGTTAATACTTAACTGATAAGAAAACTAGCCCGGTCGTTAAAGTATACACAGCGGTTATCAGATCAATAGTATTAAAATCGGAGATAATGTCGACGAATGGAAAAGACTTTATCAATCTAAACAATAAGGGTGCATGATCTTTACTTTTAAGTTTTGAAAGGTTGGTAATCTAAGATTATTATAACTGATGACCATGGTCCATCTGCCAATATTACACGAACATTCAGGACGATAATCTGTTTTGCTTATTAAGATCATATGATTGAAAAACAAACTTCCGCAAGTTCACAATTCAAATCGGGGATAAGCATTCAATCATTTTGCCATTCGGGGCCTATTCGGGATGAGTTTTACTCATTTGTGAAGGCTATATGGTGACCTATAGTAAAAGGTGTTGATGGGGGTTTACGGAATAGAGAATAATGGGCAAACAATATAAAGAATAGAGAAAATGGACCAAAAGATAAAGAACAGAGAATGATGAGGTGTTAAAATATAAAGAATAGAGAATAATGGATAAAAAGTACTATAAAGTATAGTGAAAAATGGCCTAACACATTAAGGAATACAGAAATGAAGGACCCCCCCATCCAGACCCTCATACTAGTTGCCTATACCAACGTTATTTTGTCTCTGATAGATTTTTATTGGCAATCATACGTTTTCTCTTTATTTTTATGCCTATCAATTAAGACGTGAGCTTCAATAATTTGCCAGCGTATGTTTTCTTAACTTCTTTTGCTTCTTGGTAACAAAATGGGAAAACTTTATTAATTTATTGCGTCCGAGGCACTTTTCGGGTTTAATCTTTATCAGGAGGGTCAAACGGGGGAAAACAACAGTACATTTTACCTGTTGGTACTCTAGCGTCACTATTCTTTCATTTTCTTGTGCGTCTTTTTTTTTATTTAGAGCAGGTTAGACTTTTCATTTTCAAAACCTGTCTATCTGTCTATCCCCCCCCCCCCCCCCCCCCCCCCGTGCAAAATATCAACATTTTATTAATGGTCGCCCCTTTATGATGAACAATAATTGAACAAACATATATGGCATACAGCTAGCGACGACAACAACAGAATCAAAGGCTACTGACTTCGAACAGGACAATATATTCGATTGATACTCCCCCACTCACACCTGGGTGGTGTAAAATCAGTTCATAAGAACAGAGTTGTTTTTCACATGAAACCACGTAAAACATTGATAAAATTGTTTTATTCTGTATTAATGATCGAGAAAGTAAGAAGGTAAAAAACAAAACAAATATCAAAATTAAGACAGTATTCATGCCATAACTACAACGTGGATACAGTAAAATTATGACAGAACAGTCATTGATTGATTGATTGATTGATTGATTGAAAAGGGATTTGCTCATGTAACTCCGAACGAAAGTCATGACCATTTGAGAATCCTTTGTTTGTTGTTGTTGTTATTATAATAATTATTCGTATTGCCGTCTTAATTTCACCAATGAAACTTTACATTAAGTTTTGCCTTTGTATGAAATTAATTTGTAAACTTCTTGGAACTCTATAATGGCCATCTGATTACAATTGGACCCTCAAGAATGTGGAAAATGAAAATTTATTTGGCCTTCAATGCCTCAACTCTTTTAATGTGGGTATCCACTTTGTCAACTACCATAAATTTCCGATAATTGTTCGGCATAAAACCCTATGGGAAAGCACATTGACATAATTTTCGAAACGTTTAATGGAACCCAATGACATTGTATAGTGTTGTAACCTGTAATGTGAAGATGTGAATGAAATTGCGGAGATTGTGGGTTGGAACTTCGGTCGGGTCAAACCAAAGATTTTAAAATTGGTTATTTCTGCTTCTCTGCAAGTTCGCGGCATTAATAAGTAAAAGCAGAGACTGATCGGCTCGAAGTCAAAATAATGAATCCGCGTAGGATGACATGTCTTCCTGTGAACTGTTACATCGTGAACAAGCACGTCCGGCTCAGCGTGTCGGTCTAATACAAAGCAGCCCGCAGTGACGGATCCCGAAATTTTCATAAGTGGGGGCCCAATGACTGTGTAAGAGGGGGCCCGGTCTAGTCATGCTTCAGTGATTCCCTATATAATTAACCAAATTTTCCCACAAAATGGGGGGCCCCTCTAAGTCCGCCTCTGGCAGGGTTAATAATTCATATTACAATAACATGTTCTCGTCCTGATTATGTATTTAATTTGCCGCTGGACATTAAAAATCCTTCCATCATTACCATCTCAGGCACAACCTTCGTATAATGGTATAACGTTATCTTCGTCTTCCGAAGACATTAGGGTTCCAGAAAATAACTTGAGTATACATGTAAGTTTATGGATCTTTATAAAATTAATTGTGCCACAAGGTTTCATATCACAAAAGGAAGGTTGGGATTGATTTTGAGGGTTATTGTCCTAACTGTGTAGGAATTAAGGGCCAAAAACAAGCATTTTTCTTGTTTCAGGACAATAACTTGTGTATAAGTATGGATCTCTATAAAATTGTCCCACAAGGTTCCATACCTCAAAAGGAATGTTGTAATTGATTTTGAGGGTTATGGCCAAAAACGTTCAAGAATTATGGACTAAAAAGCGAAAAAAAAACTAGAATTTCTGGTTTCCGGACAACAACTTAATTATAAGTCTATAATGAATCGTTTTAGGAAAAAGGGCCCAAAACAATACTTTTCTAATACTTTGCACATTTGCTTATTTCTTAACCAATTTCAATGGGGTTTAATTCAAAGCCTTGAATTCTTAGGGTTCTTTGATATGCAGATTCAAACCTTGTATTTAGATCCTTATTTTGGGCCCGTTTTCAATTTGGTCCACATTAAGGTCCAACGGGTCCAAAATTAAACTTTGCTTGACTTCACCAAAATTATATCATTAGGTTTTTTTTGCTATGGTGAATCTAACTGTGTATTTAGATTTTAAATTTTGGGCCCGGTTTTCAAATTGGTTCACATTAAGGTCCAAAGGGTCCATAATTAAACTTTTTTTATTTTAACAAAAATTGAATTCAAGGTTTTTTTAACTGCTTAATCTACGCATGTATTTATATGTTGGGTATTGGATCATAACAGGCAAATATCCAATTTCATTTTTTTAAGTTCTTAGAACACATTCATTCTATGTCAGAAACCTATAATATGTCAAATATTTTTAAATCACAATCCAAATTCAGAGCTGTATAGCACAATTTATAGAAATTGTAAGTAGATTCATAGTTGAAAATAGATACAGCATAAAATTCTAATTTTATAGAAGAAATTATGTATGAATATAGTTCGAAATTATTGTTCAATATTAGACATTTTGAAAAATAACCAATTTAAGGTAAGTTTTATAGATTTTTTTAAAGATATATTGTATTAATGACGAGGGCATTGTTATAGCTGACTATACGGTATGGGTGTTGCTCATTGTTGAAGGGAGTACGTTGACCTATAGTTGTTGATTTCTGTGTCATTTTGTCTCTTGTGGAAAGTTGTCTCATTGGCAATCATATCACATTTTCTTATTTTTTATATTAACAATAATTTTGAAGTTTTTTTTATTTAGCAAAAATGATTAAATTTATATCTGAAAGACGGGACATGTTACCTATACTTCCCCCATAACTTTGGTTGTGTCCATTTTATTCATTTCTCAAATTTCTAACAGATACCGAAATGACAATTTTAAGGCACATTTAGTAAATATTTAGAAATCCCACTCAATGTTGAAGAAACCTCAAAGGTTAGTCGCCATTAGCGTTATTAAGCAACTAAGACGAGGTCCATATACGTTTCGATATATACTTGCTGTCAATATGTTCTTAACACGTATCTACTGTACAAAAAGAACGCATTAAATAATT